TGTGTGTGTGTGTGTGTGTGTGTGTGTGTGTGTGTGTGTGTGTGTGTGTGAATGCGCAAGCACCGATACACACATTCAGGTGTAGACCAGGGCACCCCGTTGTGTTCCTGTCGGTCACAAGGCTGCGTAGTCAGACACTGTGCATCACATGAACTCAATTTACCCCTTTCTATCAGCTAACCGAAGGCAACATTTTGATTGGCTCCGCGGAACGGTCTGCACAATGTGTGTCTGGTATCGGCGAAATACTATAAAACAGCATTACAGGACCGCAGTCACAAACATCTTCCGACAACTGAACCGCGAAATCTGTTCATAATGGCTCCACTCACCCAAGCTGAGGTCGATTCTGTCATGCAGGAGCTCGGTCCAATGACAGCAGATGCAGAAAAGCGAACCGAGTTGGGTCTAAAGGTCTACAAAGCGTAAGTCTATAATGTATATTTAGTCACGAATCTAGACGACAAAGCCTGTTTAGATCTGTGCAATGTATGATATGAACCTCATTTCACCTACCGAAATTCTTCGGTTCTTCCAACAGATTGTTCAATGCAAAGCCAGACTACATCACATTGTTCACTAAACTCCAAGGTCTGACCAAGGACAATGTAATGCAATCCGACGGAATCAAGTATTACGGCAGGACTTACGTAGAAGACTTGGTGAAATTCATTCAGGCAGCTGCAAAGGATCCGGAGCTACAGGCGCTGATTGAGACCAGTATTCAACAGCACAAGCAGAGAAATGTCAACAAGGAACAATTCCTTGTGAGTTACCATTAGTTTCGATCCCATTTGTTCTAGTCTACCTTTCTCCACTTTTTTGATAGATTTGTATGCTGTTTACCTTATTTATTTCCATATTCAAGCTGTTGTTTTAACTTACAATTTCATAGTTGCCTGATTGTTCTTGGATTATGATGCATACTTTGACATTTTTCATCGAAAATCAATCATAGATTTGAAACATATAATGAAAGCAAGAATAGTTAAAGATGCCTATATTACACCTGTTTGATTTGCATTGACAGAGTGGCGAGGGAGTATTCATCGGTGTGTTTAAAGAGGTCCTGAAACAGGGCCAAAACGGTCAATCCATGGAGAAGTTATTCAAGTTCATAATACCGCAAATTGCCAACAAACTGTGAATCACTGAACCTGCGGTACACAAATGAACTACCGATCGGTTAGTGCTAGATGTCTATCATTGATCGTGTACAATGCCTTCTGTTTGGATTCATTTTGAGCTTCTTTTTCTAAGAAAACCCATAAAGGATAATAAACGCTTCAATCTTGACAGTGTTTGGGCTTTTTAATTTATACTCGTGCGAGAAACAGTCATTCAACTTAAGCCGTATTGTCAGAACATAGATTTGTTTTTGTCAGAAACTAGTCTCGGTACGCGGTGTAGAATCTTCGATGTTGGCATTTGTCTGTGATATATCAATACTGTGCTCGCTTTTCAACCACTGATATGTATTAAACGAACTATAGCGTAACTGATGGATAATCGAAAAAATAAACGCGCCGCTTCGTTCACAGGGTGCACAGTTTGGTCACCCCAGAAGAAATGAGTTTCAAGGATGACATTATTATGCTGTATGCAGCATCACTTCCAAGTATGATTATGACCCCAGTAGTTCTTCCCAAAACTAAATGTTATTATCGATCTCACCTTTCGGAAGATTACGAAATAGTAGTCGAACAGTCGATGACCATCAAAATGTGGATCAAGAGGTGGACGTTATGGGTTTACTGTCAAATCTGGCAAATATGTACACTATATTCCACAAAAATGTAACTAAATAGCACGAAAATTAAGTTTATCAAAACCTTTTACGAACAAGTTGACTAGAATGTGCATGCTGAAAAGGGTTGCTTAGATACACCAAACGATATAACTTTACAAGGGGTAAGTCAAGCCAAGCGAAAATGAGCTTTTTGCACCCGAAGGGGAAAGTTTCAGCGATTTTCATAAGAATACAGTGGAACTCGAAGAAGGCAAAAGAGTGTGGAGGTAAATAAAAATGACATGGAACTTTGAGCAAGAGGACGATAGTAATAAGTTAAAAAATAAAGGAATTTACTGATTCATGAGATGTTCGACCATACCTGTAATGATTGGCCTGGGTCAATAAAAGCGTGAAACATAGTATAGTATATATAGTATATATAGTATATAGTATAGGGTTTTTGTATGTAGTGATGAATGCGGGAAGGAGCTTATGATAGGTGCGGGTACTGGAGTTGACATGGATTTGAGAATTTGACTGTGCCAGCAGTAATTTTTGATGTTCAAGAGAATGCGAACTAGTGTTTTACGCGCGTTGGCATACCACAGAATGAACAAAATAAGCAGCGGCTCCAATAATCGAAAGGCAATGTGTATATGCAAACAGCGAATGATCGAGAACATCAGAGAGGATATTCTTCCTCTTCAACAGCACTCGTTCAAAGAGTTTAACGAGGCTGAATAGCAAGCAACCAGTCGATAATTTGAAGAGCCCTTTTTTAGGATGGATCCTATCGGGAAAGAACTCTAACAATCTGGGACTGTTCCGGAGGACATATACAATTTGAACAACTCAGTAACCGATGCTGCAAGATATTCAACACTGATTTTCAGCGCAAAGGGTGTTAATGAATCAGGTTCATGGGTCTTCTTGGCTTACTTTGCTTAAAAGCTTTGAAAACCTCAGTCGGAGAAACTAGGCACAAGAGTTCTGGGAAACTGAAAGAGAGCGTTAGAAAACTACAATCAGAGGAGGCAGAAACTTGCTGATTTAATTCTCCTACGTGTGCCACAGGTGCCTCAACGCCGACCATATTTCGCAACAAGTCTTACTTCCCCAAATAATTTCGTCATACATCCGATTCAAGCGCTGAATTTTCACCATGCTGAGAATTGATAGTCATTTAGCACCGGTGACTCCGTCAATCATTTATTCCTTTTCCTGATCAGGACAAAGCTATTTTAGTAGAAACGATGAACATCTGTACGTATGGATGTATAAATCTTGATGTGGCATCATAAATGTAAACGGAAATACAAATATCTGGTGGGATGTTCGCATTTGGAAAAAATATTGTAATTGGAGAAAACCGAAATATTATTTGAATAAATGATATCTTTGAATTCAGTTATTTTATCACTGGTACGAATCTTCCTTCATAGTGTCCGGGCGTTATCGGTGCTTGTTGATTGTAGTGAATTTCACTTTGGATTTTAGAGACAAGTGGTCGGACGGGCTGTTAGGGTCTCGTGTTTCTTTAATGAAGCCCTGCGGGGTGTTTACGAAAATGCCGTCAATGTGGATATCCAGACGAGCGGGAAAGTTAAAAAGAACAACGAAACCTGAAGTTCTTAAGAAAGTTCGATCGCAGAGATGGAAATTGCCAGTCTCATTATACAAAAATTGGTCTAAGCCTGTCTCGAATTGTGTCGTGGTAGAGTTTGAAAACATTCAAATATCACAAGCGAGTGTTTCAGGGACAATGGAAATTTTTGATAGCAGGATATCATTAAATTTACTACGAGAGGGGGGTTAGAATGAAGAACAATGCGGTTGATTTTCATGGTAGTAAAATGAAACAATATGAGAGTAGTTACACCACATACGGTTGACAAAAGTAACTACTCCACTCCCTCTATGGTCAAAGTCCACATTTCGATCATGTCGACAGACATCAAATCCATCAAGGCGGACAACACTGTCGTCAACTTTAGAATGTAATCAACAGACTCTCCAACCAACACGATGTTTTATTTGCATTCCTCGTTCGTTCTTCAGTCGGTCGTAGCGATTTCTCACGCTATACTTGAAAGAGGAAAATTGATGTCCATATGAGACATAACGCACAGACGTCGAGACTATGCGGTCGAAGGACAACAATTCTCTTGAAAACTAAATGAATTGATTCATTATATTACGTCAAGTAGAGTTTTGCCAGTTTTCCATTGTAAAATCCTGGAATATTCGATGGTGACATAGGCATGGCCAAATTCGAAAGACTTGACACCTCATTATAACCGACGCTGCCTTATCAGTCATTCAAACTTACAGTTTTCCGCCTATATATCGTGCATGAGCTAAGTCAGAGTGTCACAGGAAAATAACAGTGGTATGAAGAGAGAATAAAAGCTCAAAAATTACTTCATTTCTCATTTCGATTGCGTGAGCATAGTAAATAGCGTAAGCAGTATGCTTAACGGAAAGATCAAAGATTATCAACTAGTAGTTTACTTCAAAATGGGTCAGGAACATCTCAGGGAAAGTTGTGTTTAATCGGAAAAGCTGTTTCAAGATGCCAAATTTTATAGGCTTCATTTTTGTTAAAACAACGATTCAGTTCAAAGTAAACTACTGCAAAGAAAAAACACATGACGCGCATATACCTATACTTGCAAAATAAATAAATAGATGGTAAAACGTCAGCATCAGCCTTGCTTGTTAGTGAGACAGAATGCCAATTTCCTAGGTGCTAAAAGCGATATACATATCTGTAAACATCAATCTCAATTTTTCCTTGAAGTTACGATGCTACTTGGGGTTTTGATTCAGACAAATGGGAACCCTGTTATGATCATTGCATCTTCATGTGATAACTTATTGGATTAGGGCAACGTGCATTTGGATCGCTCGTTAAAGTTGCCGAACAAATGGTACGCCCTTGATAAAACCTAAATCTAATCCACAGGGATGCAGTCATGAAACAAGCCTGTTACAATCTTTTCGGTTGCACGATGAAGACAATACAGTTTGAGAAAATTGTAACCAATAATAAGGCTAAACCTTGTGAAGCCTGGAGATTCTTCTGACATCACGTGTGATCATAATGAAGTCTCGTTCCCGAAGTACCCTGTGGTCAGTTTTGTGCATTGAATAGGACGGCATACGTGTTTGTAAGACATATCAGTTTAGTGGCCCAACTCAAAGCACCCTAGCAAACAAGGGATTCCTCAGAGCACAGTTTCACGAGGTAAAATATTGGGTGAAACTTTTAACAACTCAAAAAGAGTTTATGAAAGATTAGACATGCCATACCAATCAAAAATTCAGAAAAATCATACCGAGACAGCAAAATTTCAAAACATCACCGCAGTGTCAGTGAGCTCCTCCTAAAGCGTGCAAACCGTAATGGCTGGAATCCGTAAACAAAGCCCTCACACAACTTCATGCGTATCTTTACACAGAGTATCCGATTGGAGTAGCTAATGAGACTAGACCTTCCTGTCTCTTTCGCAAGTCTCCACCATGGAATAAAACACTCACCTGCAAATCCAAGAAACTGAGACATGTATTAGGTTTCACATATGTACAACCTCTTGATGAATGGGTTTACCCAGGTTGTGATCTCGAAATCTCGACAAGATGGCGTACGGTATCAAAAGACAGCCGCTACTTGGTTGGTTAATGAAATTTACTACCTACCTACCTACTACCTTACTACCTAGCCCAATAGCTTTAAAGATAATCTAAACAACCAATATGAGCTTATACATCTGGTGTGTGATCGACTGTACGGTTAAATCCGGACACCATATCATATTTGCCGGATATCACATTCCCTTTACAATCTCATTTTATTTTCACACTTCTATCTCAGTAACAACACATTGTGCCATTTTCTTTGCACGGTTACTTTACATTGCATCCTTTCGAGCAATGACTTTCACATTTTACTTTCGATCCGCTGGCCCTTGTTGCGTTCGTGCCTTACTAAAAATGTTAGTTGGTGTTTATCGACACATTTCTCGTGTCACAGTA